TCGCCATAGGGTGCGCTCCATGGTTAATAAGTCGGACAAATTTCCATGTACGTCACTTAAGAGACAGTAGTCATTAGTAAGCTGTGATTAACTATGCACTTGTACTTACCCGATGATAAAGGCCGGCGAGGTGACTGGTTTTACAGCGCGGCTCACTGGCCAACAGCGGAATGATCTCTGCGGCAAGCGCTCTCAGCAAGCAGACCAGCTTTTCTCTGTCCTCTGTGCTGTCATCAGACCATGCATTGGCTTGCCCATACCTGCACCAGCTCTAGGCTTGCTTTCATTGTACAGCCGAATAAGGGTTATCAGCTTGAGCGCGTCCGAGATGATGTCGCTGCGAGGCTCAGTGGCAAAGGCGGCCACTAACTGCTCTGGGCTATCCTGGACTGCATGTGGACGGCTGCGGCAGTACTAACTCCTCAATTGACGACTGACCGCCATCTTCATAGGACGTCAGCATGTAACCGTCCACGCCAATCATCGTCAGTTGATCTGCCACCTGGTACTTCTTGCCTCTGCACGACTGACAACTGCCCTGGTAGTTCTTTCTGGTGACGAGGCGCGCCAGACGACCCTTGGCGACTGATGCGTTCATCTTGACAGCCCGGGCGGCGATGCGGCGGTTGATTTTGGCAAAGACATTACAGCGAGATCGACAGAGGTTGGAGGTGCCGCGAAAGGCGTGCGAGCCGATGCCTTGCAGAAAACTGCTGAAGCTGACCACGGGCACGCCCTCCTCCCCAGCAGTAGTCTTCGTCCTGAAGCAGGCCATCGCCTCAGCCCGCTTTTTGCTGAATCTGCCCTTCATTGAGCTCCACTCGACCGTGCTTGTCGACGTTCATGTCGGCCACAATCAGTGTAAAGTCTTCGAGTCCCAGAACAGTGCGTGACCGCGTGTCGTAGTAGTTGAAGACGAAGCGAATGCGAAATTCAACGTGTGGTGTTTCGCGCTCCATGCAAATCAGTCCGAGCAGCAGTTTCATTGAAGCTCAGGTAGCCATTGGCGGCGCGGTTGAAAGCCCGGAAGAAGCGCTTCAGTCGTGTCTCATTCTTCTCAAAACCATTGCGCATGAGGTAGTGCCGAAATGAGTCGTATGTCATGTAGAAGCTCGGGTAGCAGTGATCGAGAAAGTCCGCAAAGAGGCGCTCAATGTCATTCTTGTTGGTCTTGATCTTCTTGAGCGACTCCGTGTGACTGTCCAACTGAACGGGCCATCGAGGCGGGGCAGAATCTCAAACAGCTGCTCGACACTTTGCTCCTGCAGGCGCTGTCGAAAGACCGGCACACCACCTCCCTCCTCTGTGGTTCTGGCTGCCTCCATCACCAGTCGGGCGAGCTCAATCACCTCTGGGCCCCAGCACGCTCGAAGGAGGCCGTTTGACACAAAGTCCACCGCCAGCCACCTGCAGTCGAGCAGTGTCAGTGCAGCACTTGAAGTCGCCTGCTGGCGTCTTTTTGCGAGAAGAAGAGGTGGCAGCCGTCGTCGTCGCTTGCTGTCCTCCCTCTTCAGCTGAGGGCACATTCAGTCGCACGTAGAAGATGTATCGAGAGACAAACTTGTTGGTGCTAGGCATCTGCACGCGAGCCACCTCCAACAGCAGCAGCTGGTCAAAGGGCTGCCGCCGCCTGAAGGCCTCAAAGCGAGAGGCGCTGCCTTCAGCGAGCACCTGCATGGCGCCCTCCTTGGCCGAGTCGTACCAGGACATCTTCTGGTGCTTCTGCACGTACGGCAGCCAGATGGCCTCAGTGGGTGACCGAGCAACGCCCACCTTGCCGTGTAATGGACAGTGGAGAATGAAGGCGACGCAGTCGTACGTCCTTCTGATACACACTGGTCACCGGGCTGGAGGGCTCCAGGTGCGGCACGGCCAACTCACGCTCCAGGTCAAAGGACTGCACACTGCGAGCGGACTGATCTTCTTGCCGCTGTAGCGAGTGGCTGCCACTGCAGATAGTCCTCCAGTGGACTTTGGGACGAGAAGAGGGTGGTCGGCGAGAGGGCGTGGGAGCCTGGCTCTGCTGTTGGGGCTGCTGCGCTTGCTGCTGCGATTGCGGTTGCTTGTGTCTTTTGCTTTTGTTGACTTGCGAGCTCTTTGTTTCTGTTTATTTTTATCGTCCTTCTTGAAGATGTCCAAATAAGCCCATGATGGTTAAAAAAGAATGTTTTGTGTGGCTGAAAAACAACTGAAACACTGTGATGACGAAAACAACATGGCAAGTCTTGATAACACTCTTTTTATCAATTGCTTTACCATATAAGTTCTACTTTCTCACACAGTTGTTCGAAATAGTTACCCTACAATTAGGTCAATGTGAGAGCTGTAACTTCACAACAGTCACAACAGAAGTTAGCTTAGTGTTATCACAGGTTGATTTTCAGCAACTCTCCAGATACTCTTCTATCCCTTGCAGACTTTAACGCCATCAAAGTAAGACATGAATCTGACAGATGACTACATAGTTGCCTTAATTACTCTAGGCGACAAGCGCAAACCAGAACGCACCAGCGCATCCACGACCGAAATGACCAGTGAGCCTGCCAACCACAACAGCAGTGATTCTGAAAACGAGGAAAGCGGAGGCGGCGGAACTACTGCTCTCATCATCATTGGCGTGCTCGTTGGACTGGGAGCGCTGGGACTGCTCCTCTACTGCTTCCTCTGCAAGGGCGACGCCAAGGGATCGTCCAAAAAGAGCGCCGGCAAGGGCAAGTCGGGGCAAGAGCAGCAAGTCCAAGAAGGGCAAGTCATCGAAGAAGTCGGTAAAACGATCAAGTAGCCCTTGATGCTTCCGCCAGACCTCACGACCTCACCAACACCAGCGCTGGTAGGATGGTCAAAAGCAATTTTAAATTTGATTTTAGCAATTATACTTTTAATTTATTATTTTAAAAATACAAAAAAATGTTGCATTTTATACTGTTTCTGAACATTAAAATGTCATCTTCAAAAGGTTTTTGCCTCAACCGTGCCTCTCGCTCGCCCATGCAAAAGACGGTAACTGTCATGTGGAGTTTCCTCAGGTCGCCAGAAGATGGATCCGGTTTCGTTGCCATCTCTGCTGACGCAGGAGTGCCATGACCCAATCCTATTCTTCTGGTTTCGAATCTTAAAATACAGACGAACCTTTTGGTCCATGATTACATCCGTCACCGATGTAGCGATCGTAGGTAATGTTCCCCTTGAGGAAGTTGTAAATAGACTCTTGAAGTCCATTCAGCACTTTGTGCACTCCTGTTGACGTGTACTTTGCGTTAGGAAACATAAGCTTTTAACTTAAAAACTTACTGTCAAATTCTTGTCAGGTAGCTTGGCCATGTACAGAACAAAGTGCTCTTCAGTTTGTCGGCTGGCAGTGATTTCTCGAACTATGGTCTGCAACGCCTTTGGCAGTCCTTTGAACTGTTCGCCTACCGCCTTGATGTTTGCTGCACAATCATCCTGGTGGCGGAGAAAGATGTGCAGGCAGACCTAGGAATGGATGACACGAAGGGATGCCGCTCTTTTGATCATATTAGGAGGGAAAGTGTGGTTCTTTTGTTATGCTTTGGTTGTGTAGCACCACAATCAACGTTTTCCTCTTTCTCTGCAACTCTGATGTCGTTTACTACTCACCGAAAATGAAACTGTTCTGGCGTTTTTAGTTGCAGCATTTTGGAGCGCTTGACCAACTTGTCCAGCCCTTTCTGAAGGTCTTTCTCTCTTCAACATCATTGAGCACTTCTCCGTTGAACTTCCACAGGCGACCGACGCCCTGACGCCAGAGACCCTCATTGTAGGCGTCTGGTCTTTTCCGTCACCGTTTGTCCGTTACTGGGCTCAGTTGCGAGTTTCTGGTAAGGAGTTCTGGTAGTTCTTCTGTCTACCAGATCACTTTCTTCGTTGATGCAGCTGCAGATGCCATTCACCAGAGCCACCGGAAAGCGAATTTGCCCGCGGTAAGGACCTCTCTTTGCCCTCGGCTCGATCGCCGCCGAGCAGGTGGACAAGCGCTTTGTTTTGTTTACATTAGTGCCTGTGTGCAAAATGAAAAGTTTGGCGCTTACCTTTAGCATGTCCGATGATGGGAATGGAGTTGACAAATGTCTCCAAGTAGTCCCATCTTTGCTAATACAGTTTGGTGGCTAGTCGTTTTAACTTTTGTAGCGTTGTTTTAGTTTCGATCTAGACTCTTGAAGTTGGCTGCATCGTACAAGCAAAAGCAATCGTCATCAATCTAATTAGCCCAACCATCCGCCACAACAGTCGGCTGACAATAAACTGTGCAGGCTCAACATTGGCAGCTGTTCTCAGGCAACTGCGCTTTCTCGCTCTCCTCGCCTCAAGATTGTATGCATCAGTGAAGCACCACCACCACCACCACAACTACCACCACAATCACCACTGTCAGTTGCTGAAGTATGTGTTTGTCAGTGTTTGTGTTGTATTGCGCTATCACAAAAGTACATGTACACAGGCCAATTGGGACACTCCAGATAGTAGTGTACCATGGTGATGGTGGTGAGGTGCATCGTCGTTGCCTACGCCTGATCATTTACATTCAAAAATGGAAGCTTGCCTTTGTTGTCTGCTGCTGTGGCAGACTGAGGATGCCTCATTTGTCTCCACCTCTTCTTTTGTTGAGGTGTATTGCTCATTACATGAGCTGTTTGACTCTTATACTCGTTTAGGGTGACTGATGGCTTGACTCTCCTCCTCTTGAGTTCTTTGATCCTGATTTGAGACATTAGTCAAAATTACTCTGGTCCAACAAGTGAAACACATTCTGACTTTAATAGAACACGTCAACATTACAAAATTACAAGTGTAAATAATGTATAAAACAAAGTCAAAGAGAATAAGAAGGGGAAGTAAGAAAATGAAATGTACACATCAGCATTTGGCTGCTGGTGGGGATGGCGGTGATGATGGCAAAAACAATGTCATATTCACAAGAGCTTTACATGAATGAATGAACGAAGGAAGGTGTAAATGAGAGAGCCTGAATAAGTGTGTGCCTATGCGACGGAGAGCATCGTCGGCGTGGCACTGGTCGTCGAGTCCGTAGAGGACGGAGGTGTGGGCAGTTGCGTGATCACTGAGACGGTCACTGAGCGGTCATTGCCACTGCCACTGCTGCTGCCTGACTTGCTATTGCTGCTCAGCAGCTTTGAGGGCATCGATGAGGAAGAAGAGCGGTTTGAGGGGTACGTGGGCGTCGGTCGAGGTGGGCCCACCAGTTGATCAATACTGAATGGGCTGTTGCGCGGTGGACCCTGGTGAGCGCCGGCGGTGCTGCTGGTCGGCGTTGAGGAGGCGCTCGAAGAGGTGGTATTTGGGTTGGAGGAGGAAGAGGCGGCAAAGCTGCTGAGACAGTTGGCCAGCGGAGAGTGCGGATTGAGGAGAGGATGGTGGGACAGAGAGTGGCGAGATCCAAGGGGAGAGTGCGTCAGTGAGGACGCCGCTGAGGAGGAGTTGGTCGTGCTGGGCGCGTGTGGGTAGAACAGTGAGGGCGAAGAGAGGTGCGGATGGTGGTGATGAGGGTGATGGGGGTGGTGGGGATGGTGGTGACCAGCCGATCCATTGCCGTTCAGATGAAGGTGACTGGCGGCAGCGACGGCGGCCGCCGCCGCCGCTGGACTGCCATGACTGAAGGCGGCAGCGGCGGCTGCAGCGGCTGCGGCACTGCTCTGAAAGTTGAGTGAGCTCATAAAGTGGTGGTGAAAGGGATGGTCCGCAGTGCTGGGCGGACTAGACAGACTGAGATCCGTCGAGTTGTTCAGGTGGTCTTGGTCTTCGCTCTCGGCGGTGCTCTTCGAGTCAGGCGTCGGCGCCTCCACACTGCCCACACTGCCCAGGTTGTCGTCATCGTGGTGGCCGCCACCGCCGAGGCCGCCTCGATTCAGCATTTCCACGCCGCCTCTCGCGCGAAGCTCCTCGAGGTAGCGAATGCACTTCTTTTTCCTCCTGTAGACAAAATTTGTGTCAGTTGATTTCAATCTTAGTTATGCAACAAAATTCAACCCACCTGCAGGGCTTGCACCAGCGATTCTGCTGGTCGAGACCGTATTTGGCACGGCACTTCTTCAGTGCTCCTCGTTCTGGTTTAGATAATTAAAATTATTAAAAAATGGAATTACAAAAGCAGTGCTAAAACAAACCTCCATCAGCATTGCGTTCTCTCTTTTTCTTCTTTCTCTTAGCATTAATGGCGTAGTTGTCTTTGGCCGTCCATCCCGGGTGCATCTCCATGTGCAGCTCCCTGTGGCGATCCCTAATTATTAGTTGGTTGGGAATAGAAGGATTCACACTTCCACTACTGTACCTTTCTTTGCGCGCCTTGTCGTAGTACTTCTCCTGTTCCTCTCTGCTTAGATTGTGCCACTGTAGGGAGAGAAAGAGAGAGAGGGAAAAGTAGGTGAGAAAGTGTCAATGGAGAAAGTGAACCGACTGGTCGTGACGCCGTCGGCGTCTCGTAGACAGACAGTCAGCCAAGCCTACCTTCTTGCCGAGAATTTGATTGATGGCGGCACTCTCCTTGAGTGTCGATTCGGCGATCACATTGGCGCGCATCTCTTTCATAAAAATCATAAACGCGTTTAATGGCTTCTTCACATGGTGAATCTTGGAGATCGCTGAGGCCGCTGACTCCCGTTCGGCGGTGCCGTTAGAGGACGTTGACTGACTGCGCGAGTGGGAGTGCGAGTGGTGACTCGACTTGCCCAGCTTGACACTGTTGCTACCATTGCTGCTATTATCACTAAAGTCATTGTTGCTATTGCCGCGGTTTTTGTTGTTCAGGTTTGGGTTGTTGTTGTTGTTGTTGTTATTATTATTATTGTTATTGTGATGGTGGCTGTGGGAGTGATTGCTGCTGCTGCTGCTCGAGTTGTGGCTGCCACTGCTGCCATTGTTGTTGCTGCTGTTTCTGTTGGCACTTGGCGAGCTGGCACTCAGTCCATGGCGGCTTGCACTTCCGGAATGAGGACTGAGCTCCTGCTTGATAGAGACGATGGGACTGCCATTGGAGTGGCCGTTTGAGAGCAGATGAGCCAGACTGCCGTTGGGCGTATGACCCAGTGCACTGCTGCTACTGCTGGCGCTTCGACTGGTCGCAGATTTGCTGAGGCTACTGCCTCCACTGCCAATGCCATTAGTGGATGATGAGGCAAGTCCACTGCCTGCTCCATTGACAAAGCTGTTCATCAAACTGCTATTAGCACTGCTGCCCGAGGCTGTGTAGAGAAGAGATTAAGAGGGGAAGAATTAGAATAATAGGCGTGTGAAAAAAATGCAGGTGTTGGAAGGAGAGGTGTCACAATTGCAGCACTTACAAGGCAGAAAACTTGGATGATGAAAAGGGTTGTGACCAGAAAGTGATGAATGGGGCATCAGCGAAGAACGGCCGAAGCCACCAAAGGCAGCTGAGGATACGCTTGGCAGTTGATATTGACCTCGAAGGGCAGCCTGGTACATTGCCGGATTGGCCCTGATGAAGAAGGAGAAATGAAGAAATAGAGATGTGACTGAACAGTAAACACTCAAATAAACACTTACCATGGGGAAAACTCAGAGAGGAGCGAGGGTGAGGCAAAGTTCTGGCCATGACCGGGCAGGTTGTACAGCGGACTCCGTGCTGCTAATCCAGCTGCAAAATTAGAAGGCAAAAGAAGGAGAATTAGATTTGAACGATGAGCATATAATAAACAAATCACATCAAACTAGCAAGCATTGCCCCGTCAATTTAGCTCCTACCAGACTCTAATGCAACCCGACGGTCGGGGGTAGTTTGACCGAAGAATAAGAAAAAGAAGAAATGATTGTGTGTGTGTGTGCTTGATGCTATTCAAAAAGGAAAACTAGCTTTGGTCAGAAAATGGCAATAAAACACAGACACAGAGTTCAGAAAGAAAGACAAGAGAATGCTTCTGAATGAGTGTCTATAAATGTGAAACACCAACTGCCGGCTGGCGCCATGTCTCGAGCATTAGTCCTTTACCAGTAAAGGCAGCAGCTCGGGCAGTTCTCTCTCGCCGTGAGGCTTAATTTCAAGTGATTTCCATTTGAAGCCCATCGAGACTAAACACAAACAGACAAAGACTACTGCAGACCGGCTGTTGGCGAAATGATGCACAGCACTCTCGGGCACAACGTTAGCACTACACCACACTCTCTGACTACTTCTGTCTAATGCTTGCCAATTAGTTAATTAGCAATTGCGCCTTCATCGCCGGTTGTCGCCAGTCTCCGGTTGACGGTTGGAGAAGGAGAGAGAAGAAGCAGACAAACGACTGTCAGCTGACAGTTGTTGCTGTTGCTTTTGTGGCACATGTTGCGCAAAGAAAACATTCGTCGATTGACACTATCAACTTGCCAGTTGACAGTTGCAGTTTTCATTTATGGAGAAAGAGGGTTCATTACCTAAATCACTGCTGGCTGAATCAGTTAAAGCATCTGCTACTGGTGAAATACTTACTCAGATCAATGTCCATCCACATGCTGATGTTGGCCTTCGTCTCGCACCTCATCACAGGTGCGATGCCCATGTGGGCTGGCGGTGGTTGCGGAAATCCCTCCAGATTGGGCATGAACTGCAGGGGAGAGCCAGAGTGCGAAGAAGCACCAGCGGCCAGGCTGGCGGCGGCGAGTTTGTTTGCCTGCAAACACAAGTAGGAAACGATAATTAAAAATTAAAAAAGAAAAGAGTGAGCTTGTGTGCGTGAGTGTGTGTGTGAACGTGTCTACGAGCAGCAGGAGCAGTATGCGTTTAGTTAGTGGGGATTGTGAGTTGCGCCCTGGGAGTTGGCTGAGCTCAGCAGCTGAGGCGCCTGGACAGTGTCAGTGGCGGCGGAGTTCGCAAGACACACTCGTCCAAGGGAGAAACAATGCAGGCTAATTAAGTCATTATCAGAGGCATTTTGTTACGGAAAAAGGGGTTGATGAAAAGTGCCTCTTGCAGGAACAGACACATTGTCTCTTTCATTGCCTTCTCCATTAAGACACACAAACGCCGGTCCACAAACAAGTGTAGTGTCGGTAAGTGAAAAAGTCAGCCGAGAAAGGCAACAACAAATGCTGCTGTTGATCTTATCTGATGAACTGTCGGGCAAGTGAGCCGTGACCAGGAGACGGGCAGGACATCTCCGCAGCGGCAGTGATGTCATCACCTGCTCAGAAGAGAAGGGTCGTCCGAGGCAGTGAAGACAACCAGAGAGGCAACCATTGCCATTAGCCGTCAGACATGCAGACTGTCATTGCATTAGCATCATCATTTTGCGCCACTCTGCTCACTGGCATCATCACTCTTTGTGTACACAGTCGACAGCTCATTACGAGCAGCAAAAATGATCAACCGCTTTCGAGTAGCTATCAAATGGCTAATAAGGTCGCAGTTTCGGCAGCAAGGGCAGCAGCAGCAAATTATTTACAGTTGAAGAGCGGAATTGAATTTAAAGTGGCAAACAATGTGTACTGCTCTCTCTCGCGCGCGCCCGGCGATTAGAGGAGACCAGAGAAGGCAGAGTGGAGCAGGAGTGGGTGAACATTCACTCGACGACGGCATAATTTATTTAGGGAAATGTATGATGATGATGATGGTGATAGTAAGCGAGCTGTGGTAATAGTAATATTTAGACAGAGAACGAAGGCACTTGGCTCTGGTGCTCGCTCTCTTCGGCAGGGCACAATCGGCTTTGCTCGTTTGACTGCCGTTTGGTGGCGAATAGTAAGAGTGAGTGTGTGTGTGTGCACATAGACTGAGAGTAACTGAGAGCAAAGTACTCAAACGGGTAGGACACGCGGCAAATCGGATTTGCATCTTGGCTCCATTGCAACTAAATTCTCTATTTCATTTCTAAGCAGCAGTGTCAGTAGTGCTGGTGCCACTTGGGCTCTGCTAACTCGCTCTCCTTTCTTTTCCCCTAAATTCATTGCTTTGCACTGGTCTTGTTTCTGCAGAAGAAAAGCTTTGCAGTAATAAATTGCCATTAGTTGTGCGCAAATGAAATTGCTGCTTCCAAATTACCGCCGCCAATATCAGTGGCAGTATCAATCAAACGGCCATGAAGAGAGCACAAGGAAAACTTCAATTAATTAGAAGAATTGCAGCTTCAAACATTGCGATCCAAGTGGTAGTCAGAACGCTCAGTGAATGCAATAGAACCAAACCAGGCAAACTAAAACTAAAAGAAGGCAGTGTGTTGTATGGTAAACACAAAACATTCAATGAAAGCATCAACACTGGCAGCTTGGCCTTAACTACAGCTGCATTAGCGTCTTCATCATCGCAGACCAATTTGACCTCGCTAACCGTCTTCTTGTTGACTAACTCCTGCATTGACAAGTCACCCAAACAAACAGACAGTGTGTTTGCAGGTGGCTGACAGAGAAGGCCAGTGCAAGGGAAGAAGGTGAATAACATTGAACAGTCTGCACAAGGTAACAGACACACAGTACCCATCGTTGTGCTAACAAATAACGTTGTTCGCAACACTGTTTAGTGTGATTTTTCAGACTTGCAAAGATTTGATGCAAAGTCTGAACAAGCGCCTCTGCAATCAAAGGCGACTCTATTGTGGCGCTATCACTCTATCGTCACAGTCTGTGTGTGTGCTGTGCTGAGCTCCATTCAATTTGCACTTATCACTTGCTGGTGATGATGAGATGTGTTTGCAGTCAGCTTTACGCATTTGGGCAGTGTGTGGCTGGGGTAGGCCGTCTGGATGGCCAACACACTGCTGCCTGCTCTTCTTCCGGCTGCCGACTGCGCACGACATGTGCCCTATCAGTCCCCCTTAGGTCTGGCAAATGTTAGCAGTGGTGCTCTTGTTGATTTGTCGCAAAGGACGATTGCTCTCCTTTCTCACTGTCTTCGTTTCTGTGCCATTGGCCGTCTAAACATAGCCATTGAAAGGACCAATGCCTCTCGCTCCCTCTCACTGTGTTCATTCACAAGACAGCAGTTGACAGCAGTCGAGCAAAGTACGTGCCATCAATTGCTGACGATTGATAGGAGCTCTCAGAGGCTCATCGTTCGAGACGGCACAGATGCACAACAAAAAAGCAAAAAAGAGAGAGAGGCAAGTAAAGCCCATAAAGCGATAATTACTGGCAGCAGTTTAGAGAATGGCACTGTGTGTGTGTGTGCACTCAGACCGTATATGCTGCTCCTTCATGTTCATTCACACTATTTCCGTGCACCAGCAGTCTGCTGATCAGTGCAGTTCAGCTTCAGTGGACCGTCCTGTGAATGAACAGTGCGTACCACAGGGCTCTCCAGTAGGAAAGCATTGTCAACACTGAGTCTTGTCGGTACGGCACATAAGCGCCCTGTGTCGTACGGCACTCGTGTGACTCTAAACTGACGCCGCTGTTGGTAATTGACCGTGCTCCCTCTCCGATCACGAAATCTCAGGTTGCCAGCGCCAATTGAAAGAGCCGTCCAAAGTCAGCCTGCAACCAACACTGACTGAGACCAACTGAGGACAACAGTCATCAGCTGCCTGATCGATGCCGTTAAACTGGGCTCGTAAACAGGCAAAGAGCAATTAGAAGATCGGCATTTGACAGTGTTTGTGTGTGTGAGTGTGTGCACTGTCGACAAACGGCTGGGAAACAGGCAGCAGAAATGTTGAGGCTAGAGTCAGTCAGTGGCCTCACTGTTATTACCCAACTCTTGCAACCAGTGCACCAGTGCAGTACCAGAGAAAGAGAGGGGATCAAATTGTTGCCATTGGTGCAAGTTGTGTTCATTGCTGTTGTTGTTGTAGTTTCTGTTGCTGTCACAGCAAGATGGTCTGTGCTATGCACACTGATGGCCATCAGAGGCCAGTTGAGGAGAGAACAAAATGTAAATGTGAATGCGAATGCAAAAGTAAAGGTGCAATCAGCCATGCTGATGCAAGTTCCCCATCACCACCAGCACTGCCAACACATCCAGAGCGTCGATGAAGCAAATCCGAGGAAGAACACTCGTTGCTGCTTATCGGTGCTGCTGCCTACACGATAGCTTTTAAGGGGACACAATCCAACATCACACATGCTGAAAGAAGCAGGAGATGTGCATCGTCTGCAGAGTGTATGTGCCAGTCTGTCAGTGGTGTCGTATTCTACTGAGTCTGTAGTCGATAGCGTTGAATAATGCTCAATAAAAGGGAGTGAGATGATGCACATCATCCATTGCATAAGTGCATCAGCTGCACTACTGCCAAAACACCCGATGATATTGGTCGACAAGCGCCAGGCAATTGGTGCAAATTGCCGGCGTGCTGCGTGCTAATGGCTTCATCTCTTTGTGATTAGCTCACAGCTACACGTACAGCGGCTACCCATACTCTTCCACCATCATTACTTTTAGGCAGATCAGAGCACACAGAGAGTAATGCTCAGCTGACAGAACAACAACAAAGGTGCGAGGAGAGTGCCACACAATGGACACATTAACGCGCTTGGCCCTACAATGGCCGCTGGACCGTGCACGAGAAAGAGAAGGAGACAAGTGCCGACGAGACGACAAGGGCCAAAGTGAGAGCAAAGTCTGCCTGACGTGTCTCAATGTCTCAAAGTGCAGTCGTCCAGTGTGGAGGTGAGTGGGCAAATGAAGTCCCTCTCTCTTTCTCCCTCACTCAATGAAAGGTGACACGCCAGCTTTTGCTGGTCACAGCAAGCCCGACTACTGCCAATTGGCTTGCTCAGTGTGCGTCGTAGGCAGTTTGCCGCTGCTAAAGCTAAGATGAAGTACCAATGCCACACACCAGTGGCAACTTCCATGTAAATAAACATGAACTGCAAAAAACTAAATTTTCTTTTAAGACGACGACGTCCTCAGCGACACTATGTGTGTGTGTGTGTGTGAAGGAGCACTCGTCGCCGAAGAGGAGTGAAGATCATTCCTCTTCTTCTTCTTCTTGGCCTCCTTCCTCTGCACCGCAAATGCCAGGCAAGCTTGCCAAAGCAAACAAGCCAATAATTAGAGTCAATTACAATGTAAATACAAGCGCGCACTTTTAAGTTTCACTTTGGCGCGTTCTTCTTCATCATCCTCTCCTTCTTCCTCGTTAATGGGAAGACAGAGAGACTGTGTGAGAGGAAGGAAAGACATGTGCGACTGGGCTGCAGTGGTAGCAACAATGGTGATAACAGGCCCATTTAGAATGCTGCAAGTGGCAACAGCACTTGAATTGAACAGCAGCAGCAGCACTCTAATTTGCCGTCAATTCGATTCTCTACCGGTGTCTTCTCCTTCTTCCAGTGGCCATTCTTTTAGCGCACATTCTTCTCGCGCCACCGCCAACATTGCGCTTCTTCATTAGCCCGTAAGATGAGTGAGAGGTTCGACTGCATTTTACTCATGTCTACATCTTCAGGCACTTTCTCTCTGCTAATGGTGCGATCACGCCACTACACACAACCACCATCACCGCAACCGCAAACTCATTACAAATTCTTTGCGCAATCGTGGCAAGGCGATTCTTGTCGCATCGTCACCTGCTACCTCAGCAGTGCTTTCAAACTCGTCAGTGGCGGTGCAGCAGCGACTAACCTAATTATCGACAAAACAAATGAGCAGCGGAAGGACAAAAGGAGAAAGAGAGAAAAGGACAACAAAGAAGGAAAAGTGGAAAGGTGCGATCGAAGCGGTGCGAAACAATTGGCGGCAATTTGCAAGGCAGATGCAGAGGAACAGTGGCAAAGAGAGAGGTAGATAAAGAGAGCTGCAATTAAAGTCACCCCCAACTTCTGAACGTTTGCTTAAACCCACACAAGTGCACGCTTTGAACACTGGGCTTTTCAGCAGCAGCAACCGTGGTAGCAGTTGAGGCAGTGGTGAGCTGACAAATTAAATGGCTAGTGCTGAGCTGACTAGCGACGGCAGAGTGGGCCAATTAGCGAGTTATGAGTTTGATGTATAGTGGTGATGGTGGGGGCAATGCAAATTGAAAGAGACTCAATTGACACGACCAATGCACACACACTCAGCACAGGGAGCTCACTCTCTCACCCACCGATTACATTCATTCGCCGATTGGAAACTGCTAATTGCCCAGAATTAGGGCTCGCATCAACAGCCGGGAAAGAAAAGAAAAGAAAAGAAGGAAGCAGACCAGTGGCACGCAGTAATTAGGGAGGTGAGACACGGTCAGAAGACGACAACTGAGCATCAACTCATGAAGAGATAGACATTGACGGTCAGGCGAGCAAGAGCGAGCAGGCCTGCAGGCAGACAGATGCATCAGACTCGGTGCTCGAGTGCAAGTGGTGCTCACTAGAAGCACATCAGCGCTTCATCTCATTTCATCTTCAAGAAAAGTAGCAGCAAACCAGCCCCTGAAGGGAGCCACCAATTAATCAGCAACGAGCTCAGTCCATCTTTTTTCCCTATCTCTCAGTGCTCTCAGTACATACTCAGCAGAAAGGAAAAAGGAGTGGTCATTGTTGTTTGCTCATCATCAGTCTCATCATCTCACACCAACACTTGCAGAGAGTGCTTTCACTTAGAGTGAAAGATAGAGAATCCGTTTGCTGGAATAAATTAGCAGCCTGTGCTCGAAAAAGAGGAGGCTGACTAGATTGAGTGACTGAAATGACTGACACTACCTTAGCTTCTTCTTCTTCTTCTGGCAGAGAATACTCGATACTTAGCACGTGATTACTGTGCGCCAAACGATCGATCACACTGCACGCAGTGATGCTCGTGTTAATGGACATTGCGCTATTGACCTTCTTGCTTCACTTGGGCACACACAAACACACACACACACACACTTACTCTCCACTTTTTACCTGTCCTGCCCTGATGCCGCGGATGCTGCTGCTGCACTACCTTACTACACCTTCTTCTCACTTTCACAGTCACAGGTCCATTGCACCTGTAATCATTGGTGAGTGCTGCTGCTGCCGTTGGTGGTGGTCACCAGCAAAGTTGTTGATGAGATGAGCGGGGCAGTACGCCAGTATGATTTCATTGGCATTTGGCATTCGATGAAGCGAAGTAGTCCTGCTGCTGTTGCTGGTAGTACAGTGTGTCTCGCCAGTGTCGTTTCTCGTTAGGACTCGTTAATGTATATCGACTACGCTCTCTTTCACTCACTATTGCTCCCTGTCAAATGATAGGGCTCGAGAGCTCTCTGACTCAAAGTGAAGTGGATGTGTTGTGGACTGCAAAGTACAAAGTAGTGAGTGAGTGAGAACTAAAAGTGCGACATGACCTGGCAACAAGCGCCGCGTGTCGTCGTCTCACTGAGCAAGTGGAGCAAATGAAATGATTGTGCTCTGCCTAGGGTCCAACCTTTGGTTGCGACGGTGAAGTGAGATGGCGCGACAAGTGCGCACAAGTGATACAAGGCACCACCATTCATCAGCGAGGCAATTGCTCGAAATGAGCAGTCACCGAGGAAAGAGGCTCAGACAGTGAGAGTGTTGTGATGCTGCCACTGCCACTACTACTCCTGCATTTTCCAA